CCGTGCAGCCAGCAGAGCGAGTGCAACAATGTTTAACATTTCAAGTTTTCGGGCCCGTTCACCTTACCGTTCCATCACCTTCCTTCTCATCGTGGGAACTGAGCTAACTGAAAGCCAATGTCGAAGTGTGTTTGTGCGTTGGGCATGCTTTCCGGCACCATATGGTTCGTGGCATTCATATTCTTCAATGACTGGGTAGGTTCCTCTTTGAGTCTTAAGTTCATCCCATCTAAGAAAGAGATAGAAAGAGTATCCCTGGAATGCCCCCACCAACACCAGCTGCCAGCTTCTTGGGCATTCACAGGAGGCCAAGTCAAAACCTTCACCATGAATATGAATAGGGCTGTGTAATTGGATTTAAGGACTTCCCTATCAATCAACTAAGCAGCCCGTTCGAGACGGTTAAAGACGAACACACAAGGGGTTTATTCCAAGCGAGCCGAACCCATTGGGATTTGATTTGGGTGTGTCTCAAATGAACCCCAAGCTAGAGGTGTGCATCCACTTGTTCTCTTGCCAGGTAGTTCTGGTGTTTTTTTCCGCACTATGACATATCCATTTTGAGAAAGCCACATCATCTACCGGCCTCGCTACACACGGCAAAGTAGTAACAAGAAGCTACTAGTAGCTCCTGGCATTACTACTAGTAGCAAGAAACTACTAGTAACAAGGTGCATCGCTGCTAGGAACAAAGTGCATGCCGGCCTTTTCCTTCCGCAACGTACCAAGGCAAAGGGCAATTCCTTTGGCGTCAGCGGATCGCGAAGGATGGACCATGGACCCCCCAAAAAGCTGAGCCTTCAGCCATCGAAACTGACCTATCCCATCCACCAGCCAATTCACTCATCAATCTCCCCATGTTTGCCCAATTCATCCCATTTCCCCGATCTGCGGTCGCCACGCATGTGCGCCGTCGCGTGCCGCGCAGGAGAGGCAGCACTTTTGCCCGAACCAGCGCGAGAACTTCTCGGTGCGGAGCGCGCTTCGGGTCTTGGATGCCACGTGGCCACCGAGTTCGGTATTTGTTTTCTGATGGGGTTTGAGGGCAGAACGAAGGGAAACCCAAGAGACTATAGAGGATACTTGTCATATTGGATGCTTTCGAGGTTATTTTTGGTAAAGATCCAGCTTGCGATTGAAACTGAATCGGATGATTTGGTGCAACATATTTAGCCATGCTGTTGGGCTTTGGCTGTGTTATGAACAAATGATAACAAATGCCTTTCGTCATGTCTATCGTCTCACTAGTGGTGCTTAAGCGTATCTGGAAAAGCCGCACCTCCCGGGATTTTCGTCCAAAGCTCGAGGGTTCCGTCGGGTTCCGTTGGAACTAACATTCCATCGAGGGCTCTACGGCCCAGGTGCCCTGCCGCTTCAAGCCCGGGCATATCGATCCGCATGAGCAGGGGGCAGTGGAAGGCAGGAAGTGCATGAGAGTACCCTAGCAGCAGCCCTCGCAGGTCTGTCTTTGATGGCAATATGTAATTATTGAATATTCTTGATATAAAGATTATTCTATAATTCTATATTATATGCAAGAACTAAGCACAATGGTGGAGTGGAGTTTCTCTGTCGAACCCTTTTTTTGACCCCCCTTTTCAACCTTTTCCTGACCCAATCAATCATTTGTGCGACGGTGAAGAGGTTTCCCAATGTACCATCATGACCAAGCGAGCTTCAAGGCCGGTAGATCATACAGTGTGAAGTACGTGCATGCGTGAATATGCGCTGCTCATCCAGAGGGTTTTGTCTTGTTACGCTGGTTTTCTTGGGCTGTTCCGAGTCCAATGCTTTGCATGAGCCAGACATGATACACTTTCACAAAAAAAACGGATTAACTGTAGTTTTGTCTTTGGACTCAAACCTTGCGAGCCTCATCAAGCCTCAACGTGTTCATAAAAGTTGCAACGATCATTCAACAAGCTGAAATCGATGTCCCATTTTTTGATGGGATCTACTTTTTCATTTTCTTATGGTGCATGATACACATATCATATGCACCGCTCTATCTGACGCTGGCCACTGCGGCCTGTGCCCGTCTGCTCGCGCACTTTCGAAGGCCTCGATGAGGTCACCCAGCGGCATCTCCGGGCGGACGTGGCGCCCCGGTTGCGGCAGGTTCCGCCGGGCTTTCAAGGGCGTTTGGGGGGAGCTCCTCAGACCGACGGTGACTTGCTTGGGCACCACAATTCAAACACATCGTTTCGAGATGTGGTTTTGCAGCCGGCATATGAAGGCATCCTGGTCAGGTCCATCCTTGTCCGGATCCGCTGCATCCGGCCGCAGATTTGGTGCCGAGGCCTCGAAGTTGCGAGCGCCCAACGAGCAGCTCCTGTGGCCTGAGACCGAACAGCATCAGGTCCGGCTTGCATGACTGGAGTGAAGGGAGGGAAATATGTTTAGCAGTGCTGGGGAGGCCTGGGAAGCAGTGCTCAATGCCTTGTATGTATAATTTGTGTTTTCATCTCAAGGATGTCTTTGTTTGCCCGAGGGTAGGGAAATCGGCACCTTTCAAAGTGAAGCTCATGAAGCTTGGGGGAAATGGCCAACACGCACACACACCCACCCATCCACAAGCACTCCAAGCCAGTTAAGAACAATTCGAGTATAGTGTAAAGATGTTTAAATGTTTGTGGGTATTAGGCTTTTCACCTCTGCTTTGAATGCTACCAGGTGGGCTGGCATGCGAAAGCTGGCGGTCCAGGTGTGGAGTTGCAATCTTTGTCTCAGTGATGGGAATCCAAACGGATTGTTCATTGCATTTCATTGCAAAAACAGAAAGGGATCAGCCAAACTAACCAATCTAACCAAACCAAACTGCTCAACAGGCTTGTAGACCCTCCAAGATCTCCAACAAGGCCTTTGCATGCCTTTGCAAGGTTTTGTTGGCAAGATGTAGGAAAAGGAGCCAAGCGGAAGATGCGAGCTAGATTCAGGCTCTCAGTGTTCCACCTGAAGTTGATGAGTATTTTGTACAACTGTTTCTCCCAACTGCCAGTGAGAAATGAATACAACCAAATTCCTTTCAGTCACTCTTCCCACGAAGCTCAAAATCCTCCGAGACTGCTGCACTGCCTGCACTTTGTCACAACATCCTCAGACATGTTTGCTGCGCTCGGTGTTGACAGCCAAACCAGTCTTCCTGAGACCTTAAAGGCTCCGATGCGACAGGCTTACCCTACGAAGAGCGTAGTACGATGTTTGGCCTGTCGCCCCGTTTGGGCATTGGCTGGCGTGGAGAGAAGACGGCCGGGGAGCACGTGCCTTGGCGTGGTTCCGTTGGATTCCGTTGGGAAAACTCTATGGCTCAATGTGAGTCCGGTGACTGATGTGCGCATGTGATTCTTCTATGCATCATTCCCAACCAGGGTGCTCCTTTTCCAGCAATCACTGGGCACTGTTGTTCTCCTCTTGATTCTTGATTTCAGTGGAATACACAGACTCAGAGCCCAGGATTTCCAAGCAATTCATGAAACATCTTCAAACATCGAACAGAAGCACTATACAATGTCTTGAGCAGAATTTTGGGAGTCTTGCAAAGCGAACCATGAGAGCATGGTCCTGATAAGTCTCAAGGCTTTGATCCGGCCACACCTTCAAGTCAAACCTCAGCAAACTATGAAATTGGCTTCAAGATTAAGATTATCCCGGCAAGAGACCCCAAACAGAGTGTGTGAGGTCTGTAAGCAGAAAGTCTAGAGTCGAGATCTAGACGCATTGGGGTCCAGAGAGGTGATGGCGGTGATGAAGTGAATGTGGGTGTGAGTGAGTGTGGGTGAGAGGGAGTGTGAGTGCGAGTGTGAGTGAGAGTGTGAGTGAGAGTGAGTGTGGGTGAGAGTGAGAGTGAGTGTGAGTGTAAGTGAGCGTGAGTGAGAGTGAAGGTGGGTGTTAGTGAGTGTGGGTGATAGTGAGAGTGTGTGTGTGTGAGGGAGAGTGGGAGTGTGAGTGTGAGTGAGTGCGAGTGTGAGTGAGAGTGAGAGTGAGAGTGAGTGTGAGTGAGCATGAGTGAGAGTGAGAGTGAGAGCGAGTGAGAGTCTGCGAGTGGGAGAGTGAGTGGGTGTGAGTGTGAGGAGTGTGGCTGTGAGTGGGAGTGGGAGAGTGAGAGTGAGTGCGAGTGTGAGTGAGAGTGAGGGTGGGAGTGGGAGGGAGCGTGAGTGTGAGTGAAAGTGGGAGAGTGAGAGAGTGAGCATCTGAGAGCAAAAAGTACTGTGCCTGCCCGAAATCTGCACTTCGAAGTTCACCAAGCGCTGTGCCTGCCACGAAATCTGCACTGCGAGGTTCACAAAGTGCTGCACCTGCCACGAAATCTGCACTTCGAGGTTCACCAAGTGCTGCGCCTGCCACGAAATCTGCACTTCGAGGTTCACAAAGTGCTGTCCCTGTCACGAAATGTGCACTTCGAGGTTCACAAAGTGCTGCACCTGCCACGAAATCTGCACTGCGAGGTTCACAAAGTGCTGTCCCTGTCACGAAATGTGCACTTCGAGGTTCACAAAGTGCTGCACCTGCCACTAAATCTGCACATCGAGGGTCACAGAGTGCTGTGCCTACCACGAAATCTGCAAATGAGCCACATGTCCAAAAGTCACGATTCACTGCACCCGTCACGAAATCTGAGCTCCTCGACGATCACCACCATGTCCACAGTGCTGCACCTGCCACGAAAACTGCATTTCGAAGCAAAACACCTCCCATCCGTTGCACCTGTCACGAAAAGTCGACTTTGGAGCACCAAAACACGAGGTTTCCCACGACACCACAACGAGAGCGCAGTCGCCTGAAGCACCTGCCGCGGACACCCAGATTCACCGAGCCTGCGCAGTCGAAGTGCACATGGACGATGTCGAGAGTCATGAATGTACTGTAAATAGCAACGAATTAGCCGTTCACGGCCGCGCGCCTCAGCGATCTAAGCACACCTCCTTTTCTACTACCGTAAGAACCCCTCAGTGTGCCCACACTGTTTGGGGAAAAAAACCAAACAGAAACAGGCGACCAACAAATATGGTAAGCTAGCTGAGGCCAAAGCGAGCGCGGTGAAGGCTCCTGTCGCCTGCGTGGCTCAGATGCGTTTTGTGAAGACATCTGGAGGCGTTTGGTGTGTTGGCGGGACGGCGAGACGGTAGGGCGTAGGTCCACGCAAGTCGGGTCCACTTGTTGTCACATTGGACATCTTTGGACTATTTGCGCAACTGAATTTATTCAACCCTTTGACTATGTTATGTGCTACTGACCCGCTGGATTGTGGAAATTCGGCTCAGGACATGGTCTCTGTGAAGAAGGAGACCCGTTTAAGACATCTCGACCAAACGACGAACACGCACCAGCTTCGAGCTTAACTGGTTGAGTGCAGCTCAGATCGATGGGATGAAGATCACAGGAACTACTAGTAGTTTCTTGCTCCTAGTAGTAATGCCAGGAGCTACTAGAAGCTTCTTGTCCCTAGTAGTATATCAGGCAAAATCAAGATTGATGATTTCCTCGTCCTCCAAAGGGCCTGCTGATGCACTGGGCCCGTTCAAAAAATATAGTCGCCCCGTATCGCGGAATATCACGGGCAATGGGAATCGGAATGAGTGCTGATGTTTGCTTTTTGACAAGTGCTCCTTCCTGGTTCTTCACCTCAGCAAGAAACTTCCACAAACCATCTAATATAGCCAGCAGAAGCAACTCATGAAGGGACGGACCACTTTGTGGTGCCTTAGGGAGTACTCTTGAAGGTTCTCAACAATGCCCATCCCACTGGTGTGCAGGACGATCTGATTTCCAAGTGGATGGGAACTCGTCGCGACATCCTGTTGCCGAACGTACCGCCACTGGGCACCATGCAGCCATCTGGGGAGCCACCAGCAGAGGCAGAGCCGCAGAGGCCGGGGAAGGATTTGAAAGGAACTGGATGCGATCAGGTCAACTCGTGTGGGGACCCTTTTAAACACAGCCAACACAAGTTTTGGAACGGACTAGCGAAGGTTCTTCTTGTTTAACTTGGGATATTTGGAAACTTTTTTCTGATCAAGCGCATGAAAGCTTGACGTCATCACACTAATTCAGATAGAAACTCCCACATTGTGGAAAGACAGTGACCGCTCCTTGGCAGGCTGTTCTTCTTGATGTTTAAGCCTAGTAAACACTGTGACACTTGTACTTTTTCGCCAGTGACAGACAGGCAGTTCAAGCGGCATGAGATGCAAAGACGGTGGATTCAGCTGCAGCAGTATCTTGGAGCTGTGAGACAGTACTGAAGTTGGCTCGGCATATTGACGTCCCTTTGTTCGCGTGGCTCTGTGGAACCCTTGCTAGTAGATTCAGAACAATATATACTGTAGATACATAATGATACATACATCTATAGACAATATATATTGGGTCTATAAGACAACCCAAATTTTGGTCAGTTACCCAATGTGCAGGCTTGCAGAGACAGTGGTGTTGTGCGGAAACAGGGTCTCCTCCTTGTATTTGGGAGAGATTCAGGGTTGGAAACCATCGCCAACAAACACTGTCATTTAGCACTTTCTCACATCGCAGAGAGGGTGGCATGTAACCAAGTGTAGCGCAGTGTCTTTGTAGAACGGATGGACCTCATCGCCTGCGACTGAAGGACCTGGGAGCACCAGAAACGCTGTCGCCGGGAACGGCGCCGCCAGCGCTTTGCGCTCGCCGCCCACGCGGTGCACACGAAAGTGGCGCCGCCAGCGGCACCGGTGGTGCCTCCAGAGCCAACGGTGCCGCCGGAGCCAACGCCACCAGGGCGGAAGGCATGGTATCCCTTTTTGCAAGAGCTTTCATAGATTTACTACTTGTCTTCTTGTCCTTTCATTTAGTTATCTGATGTTTTCTGATTGAAGGAGCATGCAACTGTCACAGATCCACAGCTTCATGATACAGATGTCAGACAAGTGCGCGTGGTGTTTCTCCATCGTCATTGCTAATGTTGATCAATTTGCTCTTGCTCGAATTTCGCCCTGGTACAACTCACAGTAACTAACATGACGACCGTTTCACACACGCTCTCCAACAAGCTCTCCATGACACACACTGCGCGTTCTCAGGAGTTCACCGAGACGTTTGCTCCAGCTGCTTGCATGGGCCTCCGGAGCGCAGTGAAGAGAGAGCTGGTCGATGGCTGGCGAGGTGTGGACGGCAAGTGGGAGGTGTCAAGCGCTGGGGTTCATCCAGGAAGATCTATGAAGGCCAATTGAGATGGTTAGATTTCTGTAATTAGTAGTTTTCCGCCGAGGTTTTCTTAGTGAGCATCAGCCTGCATTGGATCCAAACTGTTTGTATTTTAAGATTATTGAAAAGAGATCAAGCAGGAGAGGGTGGAGAACAAAAGGATTCTGCATGAGAGCTCACTTCTTCTCCCATTTATTGTGCGCGTTACCTACACAGAAGTTGGTCAACCTCCCACAACCGCGTGTGTGTGGCAACATCGTGTGAAGTTTCGTGGGAATGATGATCTGTCAGAGCGCTGTTAAGTCAGAATCTTGGCACGGCCCAAACACCAAGCTTACCTATTGGGAGGTTCAACCTATAACGCTCTAGGATTGTCATGCGTCCAGCTTGCAACTTTCTCCAGCCTAAGGTGTCGGGGTAGTTCCACGACCTGACAGTGGGCAGGAGCAGTGTGCACGGCGTGCGCGGCGCACGACATAGGTTTTGCGATGTTTTGCGAACTTGTGTCTTCCACATCATTGCAGTGAGTTTCTTTGGCAGGATCGGCCAGATAGGTCTCCAAAACGCACAAGATTGGAATCACCTTGTTGCACTCGAACTGTTGACACTCGGGCACACAGAAATGGATGGAAATGGTCTTAGACTTTGGGACAGTCTAAATCTCATATCAGAGATTGCTCTGTTGGCCGAGTCAGCAGAGATTGCACACCGCAGAACATAGTTTCACAGTTTGCGGAAGAGATGTTTTCACGCTTCTTCTCATTGACCCACATGTTTCCACTTTGCCCAGGAAGCAACACTGAAGTGCACAACATCGGTTTCGGATGTAAACGCCATTGATTGGTGCACCCACTTCAATGCAGTTCTTATGCTTATTGGCCTTTGCCTTAACTGAACAGAGTGATGAGTGCAATTCCAGGAGCGGCAGGTGAATGTGGCTGCGGCGCGGAACCGGCACTTTTTGAACGGGCCGGGGAAGCCTTGGTTCAAGCCCAAAGGCTGACGGGCCTGCTTCGCTCCGCTGGGATTTGGGCCATAGTGAACACTCCCAGAGCCATCAAAGGTCCACAGTTGACTGTTTTTAAATTCCGTCTATACATTATTCTTGGATGATGTAACATGTAACTAGAGATGTTTTGCCAGTGCGGGGTGCCATGACCACGAGGGTGATGCTGGGATGAGCATGAGGAGTCATGGGAAGGACTAAGGTGTCTTCATGGGCTTTCTGGTGTTTTTCTGCTTGGCTTGTCGTAGATGACAACTGCCCGTACCGGCTCGGATTCATGGTAAACATGTTGAAAAACAAGCACACTACTCCGGCACCGGTTTCGTGTGACTCCCAGTCTTGCGGGGGCTATGACGACCCCTTCAGCAACAGAGGAGAGTAGCTTCTTCTTACTAGTAGTAAGAATGCTCCTGGTAGTAATGCCCTTTGTTCCTAGTAGCAATGCCCTTGTTACTAATGGCTTGTTACTAGTAGTAATGCCAGGAGCTACTAGTAGCGTCCTTGCTCCTAGTAGCGATGCCCTTTGTTCCCAGGTAGCTTCTTGGTACTGAGAGGAACAAAAAGAATACCTTATCTTTTTCCTCTCAGTCACCACCGCTGGCACCATCGGGCTCCAACTTCCTCTCGAGTGGTCCACGCCAGAGGCATGTCCCCGCTGCGTTTGGCTTCTTGCGAAGTTCCACAAGCTCCCACAGCTGTGTTCCCACAGCTGTGTTGAAAGTTTGGTCGGTCGCTGGCAGGCAGCTCAGATGTCGTTGCCTTCGGCAATGCCTATGCGAAGTCCTGGGGTCACAGCGTCTTCAGCCGAGTGGAGACGAAGCCGCCCATCGCTGCACCCATTGCCGAGGCCAGGATGAAAGGGCCGAAGGAGTTGTTTTCACAGCGATGGGGATGTCATTGAAATCTGCTCGCACACCAGCTAATTGCAGTGGGTGTTAGCTGAACCTAGCCTTCCACCAAGGATCTTCCAAAGATAATTCACTCACTTTGGTGGGTTACCATTGCTTCACCGTTTGCATTGAAGAATTTCCCTGTTGGCTTGAGTGGAACCACTTACCACTTTCGGTACTCCAGATTGAATGCATTCTGTAGCCCTCCAGAAACTCCCGAAACAGGCATCACAGAATGTCATGGAGTAGGTTTTGAATCATCTGAGGGATTCAAAACTTCCCATAACAAAGTTACACTATGTGATCGTCTGGCATTCCTGGGAATATTCAAGATAGGTAACTGAATAGTATCTAATCCAACAACCCTTTTGGAGACGAGGCTTTGACAGCCGTAGCTCACCGTGGCTTTGTGCTCTGGGCTGCGCACAACCCCTGCCCGAGGCGATAGGCGAACAAGCGATGTGAAGGGCTGGAGCCATGGTGCAGGATGGGTTCAGAGGTTGAGTAGTTTGATGGGTGCTTTTAAAGACATGGTGCTTTTATTCAGTAGTTTTGGTGAAATCCCAGAAGCTCGGAGCTCCACAAAAGATCAATCCAGGTCTCCTTTCTTGTCCACAGTTGTGCAAAGTCCGATGAGCTTGTCCAGGTCTACAAAACGTAGACCTCGCAAGATGGGCATCCGGTCTTGAACTGTCCATTGAGACACGGCTGTGGCATTTGAAGTTGGATGATGCGTCGCGATGCGCCGCGGCTACGGCGACAGGATGTCCTTTCTTGTGAATCCAGGAGCTACAAGCTGCATCTCTTTTAATGGTGCAAAGCACCCATAATCGAACAGATCCGGACCTGTCAGTATGCTCCATGCTTCGTTCCACGTACTCTCACACGAAGTACACGCACCTCGGAAGCTTGCATGCAGTATTCCACCAAAGATCTTGTGAATGCTGGGACCCTCCACAAGCACTTCTCGGACAGCCTTTGATCGAGAACAAAAAAAACATAGAATGCAACAGGTCGAAACCTGCGTTACACAAAGTGGCCGAGGTGGGCTAGATGTTATATAGTTCTGAAAGAGAAGCAAGGCCATTTCCTATATATATATATTATATGGCTACACTATGCTACACTTCTTTCTTAGGAGCGTGGAGCGGATGTCAGTCTGTTTCGCAAATGACAGTGAACCAAGCTTGTCGAAGAAAAGAGGGCACTTCAGATTGAGACCTGAAGTCGAAAACATGTGCCATCGCTACTAGGGCGTGGAGGCGTTCGCTACTCGGCGGCTGGAGGGGATTTTGCGTGTTTCGGGCAGCGCCTCAAGAAACCCCCGCGTTTCTTCTCGGGCGCGTTACGGTGTGGTCGGCCCTCGAAGGCCACATGTGATCCTTGGTGTTCAAGCTGTAAGCAGCTTTCCATAATCGCGCTACCTGAGGTGATCGCGACCGTAAGTGCTCAAGAACACAAAAGGTTTGGTACCAGGCAAAAGCAACACATTTCACAAGGTTTGTTGGTCCTGGAGATTTGGTTGTAGAAGGATGCTGTGTAGCAACTCAATCTGCTGTAGACAAAAAGTGTGAAGGCTCGAAAAATTATCTTCGTCTCGAACCGCACTTGGCTCTGTTACAACAAGCGACCTCTGGCAAAGATCAGTTTGGGCCGTGCAATGTCATGGCAACCCTGCGCGCCAAGAGGTTTGGGAGCTAAGCATTCATCAAGGTCTGCAAGAACGTAGCCCTTCTTAAAGAAATACAAATAGCCAGTCATTGTAAAAAGAGCTTCTTCCAAGCGCAATGAGGTTCTCTTGTTTCAGAGATCTGCACAATGGTCTCTTTCAGCTTGATCATGCTTAATCACTGGATCTTCCCAGTTTAGATCGCCTCTCCTTTGAGCCCTGCCCCAAATCACCCAAGGCGCATCTTTCGAGATGACCCAAGGACTGGGCAACCCCCTGTGAGAGTCTGAGGGTCCCACCTGGAGATTTCAACGGGCCTTCAGTGACCAGTTTCAACATCCCCCAGTCTGCCAAATGGTTTTGACATTGTTTGTGTGGATTTTCCCAAGTCTGTGGCAACAGTATGTGGGGGGTTGCAAACTCCATTGATCCATGTGAAGTTCCTCATGTCACTGACCGCAAGGATTGCCCTTGCATTTTCGGTCTGGGAAACCGACTGGGAGAGTTTCTCACCAACAGGGATCCTTACTTTCAACCCCGTGAACGAACACCGCAACGAGCAGTGTGCTTGGCTATCAGAGTGTAGCTGTATAGTAATGTTGTGTAACCCAGCTCGTGCCCATCATCCGGGGAACCTCAGTGGTGGCAATGAAAGACATGCTCCACACGCTCCAGAAAGACAGACAGGCAGGCAGACAGACAAATATGTTCTTCTTTTGAGAGGTCACACGATTGCTGTGTATCTTATTGAAGGAGGCCAGGCAGGACTTTTTCACAGACTTGGCTTGCATGATAAAGACGCGTGTCTCCCCATATGTGGGTCAAAACTGTGGTATCCTGTTGCAGTCCGTTTCGATGAACGCTTGATCTCACTTGCAGGAGCGGGTCCTCTCGCGTCAGATGGGAGGTGGGTTCCGGCTTGGACTTTGCATGGTTTTGCTATCTTTTGAGGGCATCGTTTTGGGCTTGGCCTGAAGCCAACTCAGTTTCTCCAGAATGGATCAGAATTGTATATAACTTGATCCATGGCGCTTTTTACAGTGTTTGATAGATCATTGACCTGACAAGTGACAGCTACTCACTGCCACCGCAACCTCAAGCAGCAGCATGCCTCGGCCAACTCTTGATAGGCATGCTCTTTGGCGGGTGTGACCAAAAGGGTTCACCAGGTAAAGTTCAGCCTCTAACCTAATACCAAAAGGAACCTAATAGCAATGGCCACCACCTTAATAGCAATGGACTCCTACCCAAAAGCCAGAAGGGACTGAAGCACTAGTTAGTTTATAGGGAAGAAACTCAAGTTTCTCCTTCCACAGGTTTGTTTCAAGCCGAGAAACAAACTTTTTCCGCAGGAGTAAAAAGTTAGTTTCCAGCTGCAAAAACAATCATTTTCGAAGCCAAGGTAAAGCCGAATAATTCAAAAGACAGACAGCAGACAGAAAACTAAAGTTTTTATGGCGACAAACAAATGTTATTATCTAGAGTTTCTCTTGAAACGAAGGATTGGACGAAACCTTTGTTTCAACCCTCAAACTCTGAACTAAACTTTGCCAGCATGGTTCTAAACTCGAAAAAAACAAACCCCGAGCTTCGGAGAACCTTTGTTTTTTTCGAATAAACCGTCAGTGGACAAACTCATGAAAAGTAAGTTTGTTTCCGAGTTAGAAACAAAAGTTTCTGAAAACAGTGGAAACTAAAGTTTGTTTCCAGGTGAGAAAACTTGAGTTTTTCAAACTAGTGGAAACAAAAGTTTCTACGCACGAAAACCATTGTTTTCTGCTTGCCAGGTGAAACTTTAGTTTTCTTCCTGAAAAACAAACATTCGAAACTAGAGTTTTTGGATCTCGAAACAAACGCTCCCGAAACCTTTGTTTTTGGACTACCGAAACAAACTTTTTGTTCTGAAAACCTTTGTTTTTTACTCCCGAAACAAACATTTCCCTTCACCTCCTATTACTATTTCTATTACGGAGGCTCATGAAACTTTTGTTTTTCACTCCCAAAACAAACGTTTCGTTGCAGAGTTAGTTTGTTTCTGGGGGGGGGGG